GGCTTCATTGAGTTATAATGTGCAGCATGTGGTAAATGATTCTCAGACACAGTAGTTTGATGTTCACTCTGTCTAAACATCCAGATCATTTGTTTATTTGGCAGTATTTTCTGTATTTGGTTGTATTTTCTCTATTTTCAACACCTTTCTGTATTTGCAGCTGTTATAAATACTACCCTTGTGTTATCAAAATGTTAAAAATGTTTTCCTAACCTACTGTTTTGTTTTGTGTTCCTGTTTCCTAAGTTGCCGTGCATTGAACTCTCAAGACCACTCCACACAATAGCACATGTATAGGAAGCACACTAAATAAATTCAGTCCACGTTATGCAGCCACTTACTTTGGAAATCTTTCTATCAGCATCTTCATACATTGGCGGGTGGGCCTCAGTTGTTCAGTCCATCTCACAATCTCTTTATATTCAGCTCTGGACAGTCTCATCTTCCTTTTATTAGCTGCTGTATCTATCTGTACAAACAAGTAAGAGTCTAATTAACGCACACTCCCGCAGCAAGCTCATTTTGAGAGGTAAATAACGTGTCAGGTGACTATCAGCTGTCAAAAACAGCTGTGCCTGCATTGCTAACCAAACTTCGCTTCAAATTGTAGCTAACGCGACGCACTGAAGGCGTATGATGACATAAAACATACTGTCTCATCTTCGAAAGATTACTGCATGCCTATTTCATACAACACATTAGCAAATATGACACTAAAACAATAAATAACGTATAAGCTAATTGCTTACCATTTATTCCTACTACCAGTGTAGTCAATAGCTTCCCGCTAGGAAGTTGAAGAGGTGACTTTTGTGTGAGTAGTCTGTTGATTGGCCAGTTAATCCCATGAACTGAGTATACCGGCAGATGATTGGTTACTTGTCATCCGGGGGGCGGTGTCCAGCTAAGATTACTTACTGTGTAGACTGAGATAACGCTGCGTTCTCAACACTGTCTGTAGGCTATAAAAGCAGGTAGCTTCAAATATAAAAACATCCCTCTGTTGCATTTGTCACGTATCTTGCAGGATTAAAAAAACCCCTCATAATTACATGGGGGCGGCTGTGGCTCAGGAGGTAGAGCGGGTCGTTTCCTAACCGGAGGATTAGCGGTTCGATTCCCGGCTTGTCCAGTCAACATGTCGAGGTGTCCTTGAGCAAGAACCTCCAGTTGCTCCCGGTGATGTCACCGGTGTGTGAATGCGTGAGTGCCTGGGAGTGTGAATGGGTGAATGGCCGAATAATGTGAAAGCGCTTTGAGTGTGCTGTAAGAGCATAGAAAGGCGCTATAGGACCATATAAGACCATTTACATACGTATATACATATGCGTTTAGGAAAGACATTCGAGGGAGAAGAGAGTGACGGAGAAACAGGCAGAGGGAGAGAGGGGGGAGCGCCATTCAGGATGTGTATGTACAGTACTGTGGTTCTGACAGCAGAGACATTACAGCGCAAGTGCTGTAGGTTCCTATAGCCTAGTTTTCTGAAAATGCTGATCTCTCACTTGTATCCTTACATGAGTGCTCTTTAGCTTTGGCCACAAGGTTTATGTCTGGTTTTGATAAGTAGCTCATTGTCTGATGTAACATCAACTGTTGGCCTGCAATGGAAATTTCAAACAAGCAGGATATTTAATTTAAAAAAGATATTCCTTGCTTTCCCATAACTGTACAATTTTAGTGGAGTAACTCTTTAGTTCTGTTTTAAAGCTTTAAATGCAGCTAAATTGAAAAATCTTCACCTAGAGGCCCAGTTAAGACCGTGTCTTTATTTTTTTTTTGCCCACCAGTTCAGCAAAGATTAGTTTTCAATTGAAAATTTTGCCTTACATGACATAATTATTCACCAAGTTGTAGGCTACTGTTACAAGCATCACTGATGTGTCTATACTGTATTCTTTCACTTTTCACTGGCTCTGGCCCTGGAGAGAATATTGGAGAAGGCATTCCCCTAATTATTTCCCACAACCTGCAAGAATTTTTGTGGGCCATCCGTAGCCAGCCTCTGGGCTCCAGAATCATCAACACCTTGTACCTCATCAGTGAAGGTAGTGTTTTAAATGCCCCTGGCAGAAATATGCAAATGACACCACAGATGATGGTATAGGCTGCTGTAGAGTACTGTAGAAAAGAATTTGTAAATCATTCAAGAATAATAAGGAATTTAAAGGATAAGTGATTGCTCTGCCACTTATAACTCCAAACTGCTTGAATTTCAATAGCAATAGCTGTCTATAGTAATAGCTACCAAATAATTGTTACCAACTGATAACTGATAGAGAAAATAGTCAATCCTTGATTAATGATTTATTCTCTATCTGGAGTGTTGAATTTAGACAACGTGGAGATCTCTAAGACCTAATTTGTCAAACACTTCCCTTGAGATCAGTATAATTTTACTATGACATTATTGTATAATTACTCTCTGAGCAGTGCTAAATCTCCTAATAGATTTTCTCTTTACCTTCTCTTTTTACATACAGATGCTGGGAAGTCTCAAAGTCCATTTATGGTGAGTTTCATTCTGGGTTTGTTTTTTGTATACAGCATATATTTAACCCTGCATTATAATGTAAAAGCCTATGTGAAATAGTTCCATTATTTTGCCTGAAAATGTGAAAACATCTCAACTGAAACGGCATTATTGTCTGCAAGTCTGTATGACGATATGAAATAATTCTATTGTAAAGGCAAAGATTCTTTTGACAACAGAATTGCTGGTTTCTTCCATTGTGGATGAACAATGCATTGGTGAGCAGAAAGACTCTCTCTGACCTGTGGTGCATCAGAAAATAGAGCTCATTGTTGTTGGGCAGTGTAGTATGATGTCTGAGATGAGCTGAAGTCTCGGACTGTGTGCTCACCGGCACAGTCCCTGGGTTGGAAAGGGCTGTGCACTTTGTGGTGGCTACAAAAGGGAGCTGTGTAGTGGGATTGGTATGGCCAGATAAGATCAGGGCCTTTGAGGAAGTCTGGTTTGATTGCTACAAAGGGCTGAGGTCAGGGGCAGGAGGAGCAGTTTACTCATCTAGGTATCACAGGATCAGGGGCTTTGGTGGGGAGCCGTGTGTGTAATAGGTATAAAAGGATCAGTGTAATGTGATGGTATAAAAAGATAAAACTCAGAAAAGGGGTTGGAGGGCTGTACACTGTAATGACTAAAAGCTAGGGGATCAGAGATTTTGTTGTGGGTAGATGTCTCCTCCTGTGTGTGTTTGTACTCCAATTTGTGCACACACCCTTACACTGAATTCGTTTTACTTGTGCATTCTTGATGGCTATAAAAGCCACAGTGGGCTGTGATGAGAGCTTAAGGAGGTAGCGAGGCAATAGAGGGGATACAGGGAAAGGATGCAGGGGAAAGATGAGTGCTTTGGAGCTGCGTGTAAACAGGGCAGTGGTACACACCGTGCCGTTAACCAGCTGTGAAGCCTGCTCACAGTGGGAGATGAATTTACAAAGGATGTCTCCCTCTGATATCCAGGAGACGCTGCACTGATCTCTGCTCCACTGCTCCCGGCACACCATTGTAGTGCTAAGCACTGTGCCACTAATGGCACTTATATACTTTAATGCCTGGAAAACATTTACATTTTGCTTGCAGCAGAGGGAAAGTGTGTGTGTTGTGGAGGAGAGAAAATGTGTGTGTAGGAGAGAAAATATTTTTTTTAATGACAGCATCTTTCGTTCATGAATCTAAGAGTTGTGAGGTTGTTTAATTGCCTTTACTCATCATGCAGTTTAAGAAAATTGCAACTCCTCCAATTTCTTGCAAGTCCCTCCTAAACCATACCCAGTAATATTACTTACCATACAAAGAGAGCATTTTGGTACACTAGGTCGTCAGCATTACTGTCATAATATTTCTTTTTTTTTTTCCATTTGTGAAGTCAGTGACTTCACTCCTTTGCACCACAGAATCGCTGTCCAATCATCAGGGAGTCTGGGATCTCAGCTCTAAAAATCACAGTTTAAACATGAGGCAAGCCATAACCAGGAAATGCCTGTAGTATTAGCAAGGTATCAGATTCATGCATTTTCCCCCTGAACAGCTTGACTGCCCCTGAAAATCTCACATCCATATTTTACATCACAGGAGACAAGACACATGTGTTTCACCCTAGCTTTCAAAGCGGTTTCTTCCATTTATTTTATTATCCTTTAATGAATTTAATTAGACAACATTCAATTAAATGCAACTGTGCTCACCCCCATAATATGTGCACGCATGCATGTGCTAACACACATGCACACATTTGGCTGTAAATTGCTCAAAACAACATATGCAATTTCAACAAATTTACTGGATTAATAGGGGATTGATAATATTTTGGGATTGTATTTCACTCTAAACGGCTGCACGCGGAAACAAAGGCTGCAGCCCAGGCTCATTAATCATAGTCAATGGGTTGCCCGGGTGCAATTTGCATGTCCGAGGTGACTGCACATGCTGCCGTTCGGCCTAGGTTGCTGGATCTGCCTTGATTTGACTAGACTGTTAACGCTGCGTCAATCAAGGATAACCCAATAACAGTGTGACAGAGGAAGATGGGGAAAAAAACATTTTCTCCTCATTACCCAGCAGTCCTAGCCCCCCTCCCTTCCCCTTTCTGCCAAACTTCTTATTTTAGTTTGCACTAATTACACTGGCCTGATGAAAAAAAAGCTACTATTTTGTTATATTTGTTACTGATGTATAAATGTATGATGTATTTTAAGAATGATGCATTTTAAAATGTTTAAATATTTTAAATATTTTCCAATATGTGACTATGTTTTTAAAGTATATTAATGTCTTCTGATTGTAATATTTTTTTAGTTCGAATGATATATTACTTAAAAATCCAGCCTTTTTGTCTTTTAGAAAATTGGGGAAAAATAATGACTTTTATGTATAAAGAAAACTTTTGTGATTCGTCTGCTTTTTGTCAGTCACAGTTTGGAGCCTCGCTAAGCCATTTTAACTGCAGATAATTGGGCTGAGACATGATGCAGTGAAGTTCAAAATGAAGCACAGTTTCACAAAGCTGTAATCTCACCACTGGCTCCATACACTGAATTCTAATTATTTCATCATGAACTTTAAAAACAAAAAAAAAGAGGCAATGTTTTAATGGCTTTTTAACTCCAGAAGAGCTGTTTGTGTCTTTGTGTGTGTATTTGTATGGATGTATGTATGTGCATGAGATAGAAGTTGATACTTGTGTGTGCGTGTGTGTGTGTATGTGTGTTTTTTCTGTGTCAGACACCCACCATCACCCCACACAGACATGTGAATGTGGCTTGTGTCTGGGCTGGCCTCTCTACCTAGCTCGGCTGCTGTGGCTCACGCTGTGTCGTCCCCCCCTCCATCCTCTAATGTCCTGGAGGCATTTTTCTCATTATCAAATATTGTTTGATGTCTTTGTTTCATGATGATTAACCATGGTCACCAAACACTGGTCTGGATTGTTTAAAATTTAATTCTGGGGCTCTGAAGTACCTGCAGAGGGGCTGAGTGGTAGGGACACCCGTATTTTATGTATGCTATTTTTCACGCTGAAATGCAAGAGGACACACATTGAAAAACACAATAAATCCTGGAGGAGAATCATTAGTGGAATACTAGTGGTTTTTATGACCATTGTTATTCAACACTGTATTGAGATGCAGTAAATTATTCTGTTTGTTATGGTTTTATGGATTCAGTCCCATTTTCAGAATAATTACGTTGTTCCTCATTCCGCATAAATAAAACTACTCTCTATGTACTTTTCTTTGTATTTAAACATAAATGTAAATGCCACATCCACTATATATATTTATTTCTCAGCTTTTCAAAATTAATTTTATTTGTACATATTTGTACATATTATTTGTGCTCTGACTGCACTAACCATGTTTGTATTTCTTTGGTAATTTGAACATCATAAAGACAAACATCTTGCCTTAGGAATTCAAGATTTATGACTGAATCGACATTGTAAGCAAACAAATAGGGAAACAACACTCTCCCCTAATGTCAGCATGTCAAAACTATATTGAATACTTGAAATATTTGTGTATCTAAGGCTGAATAGCAGCCATTGTATCGGTCTAATGATATTATCCTTTGAAATTTGGAGTGAAAGAAAAATGGCAGAAATGAGCAGTACCATTGTCTGCCCCATTTTATTTAAACAAATTGCAAGAACAGAGAGACACAGACTGAGGGAAAGAACAAGCAACAGAGAGAGACAAAAAGAGAGAGGGAGAGAGTGCTCTGTAAATGAAAGGTTATGCATCATCCCATGTGTTTGTATTGTCAATAACTGGAGAAGGCTGTCAGGAAAGTGGGGAGATAAAGGTCAATAACTCAGGCAAATGTGTTTGTATTTGTATACTCCTGCTGATAGCATAGCAAACGTCAGGTTCTGTGTCTGACACCCCACAACAATAACACAAATAGTGGGGCGAGCACTAGAATAGTCATTATTATTGTTGGTGCTGGAAATGAGAGGGAACCTCAGCACATGGCTGTGACAGCCGGTGCAGTGTCACTCAAACGTCACTCCATAATGAAAAACACTGAAGATCAGAAAAGGCGATGATAAAATGTAAACACAGAGATTATGCTACTGGATGATTTGGATGTTTGCCTTATTTTCCAGTCTCTAAATAAATTTGATCATTAACGTGTTGTTTTGGAAACCCTTGAGACAAATTTAAATACTGAAATAAATAGGGCTGTTAGTGGTAGTTTTTTTTTGTTTGTTTGTTTTTTACATGAAAATGCATTGTCAAGAATAAAACTTTATTATTTCCTAATTTATGATTCAGGCATTCATATTATTAATAACAGACTAAAGATGTGCTATTTTTCCTCAGACAAAATAGCAAGTAAATAAAATTTAGAGGATTTGTTTTTTTTTTTCCCAACACAGGGTCAAATGTCATTAAAGCTTAATTTATTTTTCATGATTCCTATATGCGTTCAAGTGTTATTTTATTCCAGAGCCATTTAGTGTATTTCTCCGTGGCCTTGAGTGTAATAAATGTGCAATTAACAGAGTTAACTAATTCATGAGGAACACTGTGAAACTAACGAAGGGCATAACTACTGTACAGACGCTGCTGTCATTGGTGAATATTGTTATTGTTCTGCTTTTAATTGCTGGAGGAGGAGGAAGCGTGTTTTGAATTTATGTCCTCAGTTACCATAGCAAAAAAAAGAAACACTGGTTCCCTCCTGACAGATATATCTAAAGTCAGAGGTATGTGGAGGTGTTAACTTCTCTGGTTTCACCAGTCACCCAACAAATGACCCTTTTTAACATACAACCCAAAGAGAACAGATATAAGTAGTAATACCTCAAGTAGCAGCGTGAAATCTTCCATTCATCTTGATCTATGGTCAAAGAAAAGGTCCCTGTATTTTTGTGTCTCATTAACACTTGGGCTTCCTTTTTTATACTTGATATAATTTCTGCTATTTTAACTTTTGTCAGTGCAGAATCAGAATTATATCGTGCGCTTCTTTCTGTAGGAAAGTGC